AAGATAGTGCACTTGATCTCATTATCAAGGCAATATTGTACATGTATGTAAAAGTTCAAATCATGTTACAGCCATCTGCTATTTGACTGAATGAACCTACAGTTGTTTTATTTCCAATTACCATCACAGATGTCACCTCAATATTGTTCAGTCACAAAAATATATATACATGTACATGTAGGTATTTAAAAGTCCATAAATTTAAGGTTATTTGGTTCTGTATATAATAATATTGTACTATATGTAGATGTACGTTAGATTGGAAATTACCAAGTTTGTGTCGAGTTATATTTAAAAGTCCATAAATTTAACAGTTTATTTGGTTCTGTATATTAAACTGTACGAGGGGAAATTACCAAGCTGGTGTCGGCTATATTTAAAAGCCATAAATGTAGGAGTTTATTAGTTCTGTATATAGAAGAGTAGGCTTATATTGTAGAATACATGTACATGTACTTGACAGAATATATTACATTTCACCAGGATGAAATGTTTTTTTTTTCAAACATTGATCTTAGTGACTTATTACAAAAATTCTGTATGCAGGTACATGTACATGTACCGGTACACATGTACCGGTACTGTGCAATATACATTTTATATCTAGTCTCTATTCTGTTTAAAATTCAAATTATATTTCTAGAAAGTGTTAGGAAAACAGATTTGTAGACCGTTTGACTTCGCAGGTTATGCTGACAAAATCACTATGGAAATAATGACCTATAGTTTTCAATTCACTTTTCTTTTGTTTATGTGTTTTACCAGACTCGGTTTAACTATACATCTTTAAGGTTGGGTTGTCAATGTGTGCACTTTAGATCAGAAGGATTGTCATTGAGTCAAGTGGCGTGGTTTTGATTCCCAGCTTGTAAATGACTAGGAGTAGGCTCACCTGTCCAACCTCGTGGGTTTTCTCCTGTGTTGTCTGCTTTTCCCCCACTGCTAAAGTGAATTATTCAAATAAAATTGCCCGTCTTCATTAGCCCAGTTGTAGGGGCAGAACAGTAGGAAGTTAAGCCCCATTTCATTACCTCTTTCTATCCAATCCGATGGACTGAATGTTTTTCTTTGCCAGGACCTCTTTCTGGCAGTGGCACCATTACTGGGAAACCACATGGGAAAATCTTAAGAAATCTTCTCAAACAACACCAGGATCAAACCCAGGACATCCTGGTTCATGAACCAATGCCATGTATGTATGTACTCAATGAACCACCAATTACGATTACAACTCTTGCTATCTGTTCAATAGAATTTACCATGAATTTGACAGACCTGTTCAGGACTATATTTGATTGATCTTTATGAACAGAGTCAAGGATGCTTCATTTTATTGGACAGTTGTCTGGTAAAATGAAACTATTGATATTAATCATGTTTAAGTAATATCTAAGGATTTAAAAATTTTATGGTTTTGTTATGCTTTACTTACAACTACAATTGTAAGCAAAAGAAAGGTAACCGGTGAGGTAATTAAATTTAAAAGTGTAATGGTCCAAGTGTGTAGACTGTAGAGCTTAGAGTGCAGAGCTCTAGCTGGACGTGGTTCAGATCCCTGGTGTGATCGGCGTATGTGGCTTGGAGATAAAGGCACCTTCTCAACCTCGTGGGTTTACTCAGGGTACGTCACAGGAAAGAACCCCTTTGCATGCTCTGATCATGGTAAAATAAGACAACTTGTCTGTGATATATCACCCTCGATGGAAGCCGGTGTGGAACACTAATAGTAATAGAAGAAGTGCGTTCTCAAAAATAAAATTTTATAGTAAGTCCTGAAATGTGCTTAAAGAAGCCCTTCATCTTGGTAAAATTAACACGATTCTTGACACTAGGAACCGGGTATCATTCAGATTTGATGAAAAAAGGAAAGAACTGAGCTTACCATGTATAATCTAATACACATACATTTGTATTCAGTTAATAGATTGCCATGCAGAAAGTATTAAATACCATCAAGATTCATCAAATAACACCCAGTTTGTGCTACCGTTTAGTTTAAGAAACACCATTTAGTTTTGACATCGGTCATCTAGTTTATGACCATTTAGTTTAGTTTTGATATTGGTCATCCAGTTTATGACCATTTAGTTTCATAAACTAGACAACCGATGTCAAACTAAACGGTAGCACAAACTGGGTGGTTTTTGATGAATCTTGATGGTATTTAACACTTTCTGCATGACAATCTATTAACTGAATATGTGTATTAGATTATAGATGGTAAGTTCTGTTTCTTTCCTTTTTTCATCAAATCTGAATGATACCCGGCCCCTAGTGTGAGCTTAAACCTGATTGGTGTGAATACTAATTAATAGGTTTTGTCCATGCAAACAGCTACTGGTATCCTCATACATTTTGGGTTTTCGACTGATTCTGAAGGGGGGTTGGATGGCCAAATGGTTAGCGCGTGCGCGTTGTATCATAAAGTCTGTCATTGAGTCAACTTGAGTGGTTTCGATTCCCCGGTTGTACGTGACAAAGAGTAGGATTGCCTCTCCATCCTCGTGGGTTTTCTCAGGGTCCTTAGGGTCCTCCGGGATCCTCCAACTGCTAAAGTCCAGTACGCGCAAGTGAATTATTGAATTATTAAAATCATTTGCAGATTTTCAATAATTTGTGTTTCATTTTTTTTTTATCTTTGTAAATTTTTGGTAACCAAACATGTAAATCAACAGACATTGTGATCTAAAACACACGTCAAACAGCTTGCACCCAACACAGGTGAGCAAGCCACTAAAGTTTGAAATATATATATATATATATATATACATATATAAACACAACAGTTTGGCACTAACTGTCAGAAAACATGGAATCTGTTTTTATACGCCCACATTGAAATGTGGTCGTATATTGTCGTCGCCCCCGTCCGGCAATTGCTTGTGGATGCTCTAGAGGCTAAAGTTAATATCCGATTGACTTTAAATTTATATACAGTGTTTAAGGCCATGAGACGAAGAAGCCTATTGATTTTCAGCGATTTCCGATAATTACTGCCAGAGTTATGGCCCTTGATCACTTCAAAAAATCTTGTGGACGCTCTAGAGGCCAAAGTTAATATCCGATTGACTTTAAATTTATACACAGTGTTTAAGTTCATGAGACGAAGAAGCCTATTGATTTTCAGCGATTTCAGATAATTACTGCCAGAGTTATGGCCCTTGATCACTTCAAAAAATCTTGTGGAGGCTCTAGAGGCCAAAGTTAATATCCGATTGACTTTAAATTTATACACAGTGTTTAAGGTCATGAGGCGAAGAAGCCTATTGATTTTCAGCGATTTCCTATGATTACTGCCAGAGTTATGGCCCTTGATCACTTCAAAAAATCTTGTGGACGCTCTAGAGGCGAAAGTTAATATCCGATTGACTTTAAATTTATACAGTGTTTAAGGTCATGAGACAAAGAAGCCTATTGATTTTCAGCGATTTCTGATAATTACTGCCAGGGTTATGGCTCTTGATCACTTCAAAAAATCTTGTGGACGCTCTAGAGGCGGAAGTTAATATCCGATTGACTTTAAATTTATACAAAGTGTTTAAGGTCATGAGACGAAGAAGCCTATTCATTTTCAGTGATTTTCGATAATTACTGCCAAAGTTATGGCCCTTGATCACTTAAAAAAACCTTGTGGATGCTCTAAAGGCTAAAGTTAATATCTGATTGACTTTAAATTTATAAACAGTGTTTGAGGTCACGAGGCGAAGAATCCTATTGATTTTCAAAGATTTCTGATAATTACTGCCAAAGTTATAGCCCTTGATCACTTTGAAAAATCTTGTGGACGCTCTAGAGGCCAAAGTTAATATCCGATTGACTTTAGATTGATACACAGTGTTTATGATCTTGAGACGAACAAGTATATTGATTTGCAATGAATTTGGAACAGCTAAATCCATGATACAGTATTAAAAGTTTTGTATACAAAACATTAGCATGGGGCAGAACTTTATAAAAACCAAACAAATTCTAATGGTTTTCTGAGTTGTTGCTCTTAATCAGATTTTAGTGTATTATAAATGTTTCATTACCGAAAAAAGTAAAAATATGTGACAACTCTTGTTGACTGCCCGGACGATTTAGCTGCTGTGGGCGTATGTTTCCTTGCCTGGCAACCTATCTTTGACTTGCACATGATTAACACGATAATAATTAATTTAAAGCAGGTTCTCCTGAAAAACCAATAATCACAAGGGCAAGTGTAAAAAGCAACGTGGGTCAAACTGTCTCCATTTCTAATAAATATATTGTCAGGATACTTGTTGAAATACCTTGGCACAGCACAGAAATGTGGCATTTCAATTTTACATGCTTCATTGAGCTGGTTGTGATAATATGTAGCTACAAAAGTACAAGTCACTGTATACAGTATGTAGCTACAAAAATACAAGTCTGTGTATATGTAGCTACAAAAGTACAAGTCACTGTATACAGTATGTAGCTTCAAAAGTACAAGTCACAGTAAATGTAGCTACAAAAGTACAAATTACCGTATACAGTATGTAGCTACAAAAGTACAAGTCACTGTAAATGTAGCTACAAAAGTTACGGTATACAGTATGTAGCTCTACAAAAGTACAAGTTAAAGTAAATGTAGCTACATGTATAAAACATTTTATTACACATTTTTATATGATCCTAAAATAGTGATATTAGTAGAGAGAATAAAAAGCTGACCAATTGTGTAAAATCAAGTATGACAGCAAGTTGACTCGCCACATGAGAAAAATCTCCCAATGGAAAGTGGCTTTTAGGTTATTGTCTCGTATATATGACACTACAATCACGGTTGTGTTAAATGGAAAGCTAAATATGATAAAAGCGGAAACATTATAGATTTGACAAAAAGATCTGTAAGACAGCAGGTACAGACTTGTTATGGCGATCAACAATTTCATGACGGCGTTTGAAATACATTTTATTTATCTGCATGTACATGTGATTTGTTAATGTTTTGTTAATGTTTTAATTAATAAGAATCTTTTTTTGTCTACTTTCAGAACGTCCAAGTCATGGGACAACACCAGTCTTTGGCTGGCGTTGATGGAAGTGTAGGCGTCATTCCGACACCCCCCAACAACAGCATACCACAACAATGTAAAGATTTAGTTACCCCTGAACAGAACAGTGATAACGCAACAGATAAAGGTTCCACTCTATCCTTCAGAACTGCCATTGATAACTTCATAGAATCATGTTTAAGTAACCCAACTGGCAATAATGAAAATTCACAAGATGGTGTTGATACCCCAAAGGAACTGCCCAAAGATGAAGCGAAAGTAGATCGCCAGACTAGTGCTGTCCCCGGTGAACATAAAGCTAATGATACTAGTTCCGAAAAAGATGTTGAGATTTCAGATAAAAATCCTGAAGAGTCATTGGATAGAGCGAAAACTTTCAGCTCTTTCCTTCAAATGCGAATTAGAGACATGATTGTAAACTGTGAAAACGATGAGGAACTGTGTTCTAATGTCTCCACCATGTCTTCAAATACAGCTTCCTCTTCCTCCTCCTCCTCGATAGCCTCCATCCCCTCCCCAGTATCAAGCGTAACACACCAGTCTGTGGTTACGAGCCCTAATGTGCCTAAAACTACTGTAAGTTCTCAATTGACTTCTACACAGTGTTCTTCGTCGGTTACAACCAGCCGTCAAAACTCGTATACCGGTAAGTTGGATATTGACAGGTCAATGACAAGTGTTCCTCTTCAAACTTTAATAGACAAAGTCTTAGACAATTCATTAGGAGGTGACATACTTTCTCCTGAGAATAGGAGAACTGACAATAGTGTTTCCCAAGTTGAAAGTTCTGATCATAAACCTAAAAGCAGCGCTTCTTATGAAATAGCTGCTGAGCCTGCCAAGTTCGTAAGTGAAAAGGTTGCCCGTTGTGTTGAGCGGAATACAAATAATAGTGAGAATTCTTTAAGTTCTAAAACTGAAAGACCAGGAATTCTTCTAATGGATCACATCGAAAAGGTTTTGGAGGAAAATTTTGCGCAAATGACTAAAATCGAGGAGGAAGAAGCATTAAGGAATGAACCCCCACCATTAAAGGCCATGTCGGCCGTACATGTATCTTACAAACCAGATACAAGTAATAGAAGTTTAACCCCGGTGAAAGCAGATAAACCTCACGAGGCTAGTTATAATGCGTCATCTACTAACGCTGTGAAGCAGGCCCATAACCCAAATTTGAGTAAAATTGTGACAAACCCCGATGGAACTATTAGTGTACAAGATATTGTTGATCGTGTTATTAGCCAGACTGAGGTTATAAGCAATCTTTTAGCACCCGGGTATGCTCCAGCCTCTGCGAAACCTGTGCAAAAACAAGAAACCCCTAGTCGTTCCTCCTCTCATAGATCTTATGAACGAAATGTGCAAACAAACAGTGCCTCCAAATCGGACGCTTATACTGAACTTATAAGACAGCAGGAATTTTTACGGGCTGCTGCTGCTGCTGCTGAATCCCATAAGACTGCCAAAGCTTTCCATCCATATCATTCTAGAGAGGACTATAACAACCATAATATGACTGTATCAAGGGCTAACAGCGAGTACACAGAGAAACATTCTAGATACAATCAGATATTGGCGAATGAGAAAAATATTTACCACAAAAGTAACTTATATCCTTCATCTGAAATTCAGGAAATGCATCATATCGATCACATGCTCATTAATGAATCACAGAGACAAAAACTGATTCAGGAAAATATGCTTCTTCTTTCATCTCGTTATCCATATCCATTACATATGGCATCTAGTGTAGAACCGCGAATGGTGCCACCGCTAATGCGATATTGTCCCCCTGCTACTATTCATCCGCAAAGAATGCCCCCACCGTTATTAAGGGTTGAAGGCCCTATGGATCCCGGTGTTTCTGCTATCCCTCATCCTCATGCCTATAATAAAAACTGCTCATGTGTTACCTGTTGTTCGCATCGAAACCAATTTGAAGAAATGAAAAGACCCCCCAAGCAAATGAACCCTGCTCTTTTAGTACCTCCAAATGCTGTGAACTCTCCAAGAACTTCACCCCACTACAACCCCCGTTTATCACCAGCCTCTAAAGACATAATGCATGCCACATCCCATTCACCACTTCGGTATCATCCCTCTGCTTTCACCAGAACTAAGGATACGCATTTGCCAGAAAGGAATTTACCACAAAAGATTCACCACACATGTGCTGAGGTGGTACAGCATAAGAAAAGTAGAATAGAAAATGGAATTGATATGTTTTACAACGATAAAAGACGTCATCCCGATAGTGATGGTCCTCATATTCAAGAGGCTCCCTACTCCAAAAATAAACACCAGCCACACCAATATTCGACAAAATTACCAGAAGCCCATAGAGCCCATGAAGTACGAGCAGCACACATGCTAGACCTCACCATAGATACAATGGAGCCAAACGTAGCTGCTGATCAGCCGTTGGATCTAACAAAGAAGAAACCAAAAACTGCCGAAGTGCCTACTGAAAATTATTATAAATGGCCGGTATCAAGAGAAGAGTATGAGGAGAGGAACAACACACGCTGTCATATATCTTCAAATCCTTACGAACAAAGATTTATGAACCAGGAGCGAGTGAACTACACAACTGCCCCTGAACACTTTCGGGTGTCTGCTGAGAAAGACAATAAGGACTATAACAAATATGTGGAGAGATCACCTGGTGCCCCTTATGCTACCAAACCTGAACTATCTCGACTAAAAGAAACACCAGCTACGATGACTCCGGGGATGATGCCAGACCATTTGGGTTCACCAGGCGGTAGAAGACCTCAACTTCATCCACTTCCGTCTCCTAATTTATCCACATGTTATACCCAACCAAATGTTTCACCTCAATTTGCTCACAGTATATCTCCAACCAGTGCTTCTCCAGATGGAGAGCGAGGTCCAAACAATGAGTCTATAAACATTTCTCGCCCCTCTAGTCAGTGTAGTAGTTCCCCTATAGATCACGATAAAGAGAGACGCAGTTCTATATCACGACATGAACCTATTCAAAACATTATAGGGAGTCATCCTCCAAATGATATATTGTATCTAATCTGTCGGTTGTGTCGTCAGACGTACGGAAGTCCTTATGGATTTAGAAAGCATTTCAGAAATCAACACGGGTTTGAGCCAAGAGCCGAACATACCATTGTTCAAACTATATCTGCCACTAAATCAGCCATGCTGCATACACCAGGAATGGCAGATAGTCCAAACACCTTATCTCAAAACCATAACTTATTGCATGGGACACATCAACCTTTCCCAGATGGTCATGTGATGGATATTGTTGACATGCCCAAAGTTCGGGAAAGAGCTGCTAGTGACTCCCGATTATTAAAATCTGCTATGTATGCGGAGACTAAATCCAGTCGTCCAAATGGAAGTCGATCAGTGGAGAACAGGCGGCCTTCAGTGAAGGAGGAATCAGACGATACAAAATTCTTACAGTGCGAACAATGTAAACAAACATTTCAGCTCAATGACTTTGGCTCATATAAGAGACACTGTAGACAACACAATCAAGCTAGGCATCAAGGAGCGTTCCAATGTCAGGTTTGTCCTAGTGCATTCCAAGAACCTCAACACTTACAAGAGCACATGCTTAAGCATGACGTGGAAACAGCTGTGTGTAAGTACTGCAAAATCCCTTATGCTACAAAAGAGTATTTGGAGGATCATTTGCGAAAAGTCCATGGGGATGAAATACATCACACAACCAACTCCTGTACACATTGCCATCTCCAGTTTACAGATTATAGTGAATACCTTATACATCTTCAAAAAGTACACGGCGGGTTACTGGACACAGAAAAAGCTGGCGATAGCCGCAAATACACAGGAGACTGTGGTAGCAATGGCGCCCAACTACCAGTAAAGCCGTCAGTGCGGGTAGAAATTCATCCCGCGGATCAAATGACCACAGTAACTTGCCCAGACAGTAGTTCAGATAATTCAAATCTTGATAAAAACCGCTCTCAAGTGTCGGATTCTACAACCGGTGTCCTTCCGAAAAATTGCCCCGATTTCGGGATTCCAAAATCTTCTCCGGCTTCGAATGAACGTTGTTCATCAGCGGAAACGCGATCACATTCCAATGAAAATTCGCAGGATACTGTGTCCTCTTACGGAAATAGCGATATCGGAGAGGAGAACTTCTATAAACACAAAAAGTTCTTCGGACATCGGAAACGAAAGGAATCGTCTGATGTTTCCACAATTTCCCCCAAATGTGCTAAGACTGATGCTGATAACGTTGGTAGTCCGAAATGTGAGGAAGTTACGAGTAATGTGAACAGTACAGTGACCTGTACCAGCTCTTGTCAAATATCTGAAGGAGAAAAAGCCTGTGATAGCTCTTCCTTTCCGAATAATTCAGTTTACGAAAGCGAGACGTGTTCTGTTGACTCTGAAAAATTACAGAATAAACAGGAAGCAAGGCATCAAATGCCGTTTGTATGGGACAGAGTCACGCGAAGTCAGGCAGGGAAAAATATAAAGCCTCCTGATTATATGGCCTAGACATAAAATGTTTGGATTAGATAATACGAACCATATGATGGTGCTGTATAATTAAAGACTTGTAAAACTGTGTACAGATACCAGATATTTATATCAATGTGCCATGCTTAGAAAAAGTAATTATACAGTTAATGTATATATAAATTCACATATAGATTATGTATTAGAATATTAGTTAGAAGTAATTTATTATAATATATTCGATTGTTTTATTCGGTGGATTTATTATATTATTAGTTGGATGATAAATAGAACTGAGGGATTAGAATTGTTCATTTATGTTGAATCTTTCTACTCAAAAAAATGTGTATCTGGTTTAACTGAAAACAGTCTGTTGTGTGTACATGTGTCATTTGGTGCAGATACTTTCAAGGTAACATCCTAGGAGATTATTACTAATATAAAATGTTATAAACGAGATGTGTAAATGTCTTCGTGGTACCCTTGTTTGAATGTACTAATACATGTATGAGTAACTTTGTCTTGGTGCAATAGACAGAGAATTTTGTTGTAAATACATAGTATTTTCATTGTTTCTAATGATGGTGGTGTAGTAAGTGCACAGTGAGTACTGGAAGAATCAGAACTGTCGGTGTCGTGCACATCATGCCCCCTCTTTCTCTCTCTCTCTCGACCGAACAGTTCTCTTTCTTTTCTTAATGTTAAACAGGTATTTTGTCGTGCACTTGTTATTTCATGAACCAGAGTTTTATTTATAACGCTTGTTTGCTCAGTTCTTTTAAGGCTTGGATGAAATACAAAGACCATTTAATATTTGATAAATTTGTAATGCCCGGAGCGTCACTTTATTATAATGGAACAATCTCAGACAACGTGATATCAAGGGGGATGCTGTATTGAAATACTTTACTGTGTATTAATAATAATAATGTGCGTTTATAGGGCGTTTAATCCATTCAATATACACCTACTCGTAAATATCAATGGCAACAATTTTTTTTTGTACTTTGCCCCATTAAGCATGACTTTATAATTTGCAACTTTTAACAAGAAAGCCAATCTGATTTAAACACAGATTTCCCATTTGTTTCGTTTTTTATAGTTCAAAATTTTGTTTTACTTGTTTTCATAACACTAGGATCTGGAAGAGCTGTTATATAACGGGCGTTCTGCTTGATGTGAGGTATTAGCCAATGAAACGGTCTGTTACGGCGAGTTCTTGGCGTGCTAGTTGATTAATCAATGTCTGACGTCATAGGGTCAAAAGCCGCTCGTATGACCCCTGACGCGACCTCCCACTCCAATTGGTTAGATCTTCATGTACATACATGTACAATGTAGTAGAGGTCATCGAAAGTATAAAAAACGAAACGAAATGTAGATCTGTATTTTAATCAGATTGCAAGAAAGTAAACGTAATTAAATTCATAATCAGTAACCCTATACTCAGCTAAGTACTACATGTATCAAAAATCCAAGCACTGGCCTACTTAAGAGTTTCCGTCTCATTTCATAAAAAGAAACTTATATCTCGGTAGTGATGGGTTGCCAGATATTTCTCAAATTACATGTATGTGTAGGCTACAGTCTAATTTGAATATTCATTAACTAATCTCATCAGTAGAATACTATTCGGATACCGACCTTTGACAATTTCCAAAGCGCTAATGCCTTCATCTTTGCTGGACGTTGCTATTGCTGACTGGAGGTTAACGCCCGCTTCCAACTGTTACAATAACCGGTTAATAGACATTTTCACGCCCATACAAAACGAGCCATCACTTCAACACGGTTTAATACATTGAAAATAGCTGTGATTGACACATTCACATGTTCAGCCATACTAAATAGTTTGATGGTTGAGCTACATTGTTTTCAGACGTCTCATAAAACAAGTAAATTTGGAAATAAATTCAGGGTTTGAAATTAATATTACATAGATACTCATTATATTATTTCATTAATCGAATTTTATACACAAAAAAAAAGTTTTACATCAGGACAAAAAACTACACAAATTATGTGATATATTTTTGAAAATGTCTTTTGGTAATGTTTTATTGATTTATTCAATTAATATGGCGTCTTGTTTTTAGAAGACCAGAAAACATCGGAAATTACACAGGCATTAAACATGTCTATTGCAGGTCTTTCTTTAGGCCTGAAATGTTATGCGATATTTAGTGGATTCAAATACGTTTTGTGCTGGATAAGGTTACCGCAAAGATGGATAATCGAGAATTTGTTTATTATGGTAACAACGGTATTAATGATAATCGAGGCTAGCCTATAATTATATCGTCGATTCCTTGGCTCAGAGGGGAGTAATTTGACTGAAATTTTCAAAATATTCTCTTTTTCTTATCTATTTTTAACCATTATAGCGAGAACTGACAGCTCTTTATGTAATCTTACCTAATGCGGCTTTAAAAATTATTTAGAAATATTATTTTGTGGGATGAATTACAAAATAGGCGCCATTCTAGCAGTCCTATTAAATTCTAAATATATATGTACATGTATGTCAATTTCACTTAAGGCCACGAGTAATTCACAAGGAAACAGTTTGGTATACAATGTAAATCTTCAGCTAACGGTTCGTCCAATCTGGATATTGAAACAGCGTTGTTTTTACGTAACATTGCTTGCAAGGTAGCCTACATGGGTTCAAAATGCAGGACATTTGACAACAACCCTGTGTAATTTAAAACGTACGCAAGGCAGGTAATTAGATTACTAAGCATATGCCTAGGTTATTGGGTACATTTAATTTATCGTACCTATCATAGGGAATACTCGAATGAATTAAATTATTTTAGGCCAAAGTCATATTGCCAAATACGTTGGGAGGGGGATCTCGGGCTAGTCTATGGACCTCCTTTCTATTTTCTAAAGTAAACATCTGACTAAAGATGTATTGTGTAAGATATAGATGTGTCTATTCTTGATATAATAGTTGATTATTAATCAAAAATGAATATATTGAAGACTTCATTCAAATTACACTATTCTAAACGAAGTTATGGGCGTGTATGAAATGTTGATAATATGCTCTCGATTGTCAATTATCATTGCTACAATACAAAACAAAGTCTCGATTGTCCATTTTATAATTAAATCATTAAGTGCCGAATATGTTCAAATCCAGTTAATATCTAAACCGTCCAGTGGCCTAAACATTTGGTAATCGTCTTTGGATGTATACTAATGTCCAAAAGAAAGTATACCGACTAAAAGTATGACAAAGTTTTGTTTAAATCCAAAAAAAATGTGATAAAACTACACTGAACATGTCTCGTGCGTCCAAACTCAATATTTGTAAGCAAATAAAAGGCAAAACAAATGGACATTGTACCCAAATACCGCATACAATGGAAAACGACTTTGTTTGAAGCAGGACAAAATGCACAGTGTATACTTTCTTTTGGACATTAGTATAGATAAATGTTTAAATAATTTATACAATAGTTTAAGCTAGAAATAAGACCTGCGATAGGCAGATTTAGCTCTTATATAAGGCATCTTTAATCAATCGTCATGCAAATCATTGATACAAGTACGACGTTTGATCGCAATACTTACTGAAAAGGGGCTGTCATGAGGGTCGGATTAAAATCGTGGACTAGAATCTTGAATATGAGACGAGCGTGACTTTGATAATTGTCACATTAGTATAATATAGTGTTATACGGGTGAAGTTTCAACTAGTATAATAAACCACGCCTAAGTTATGTTACATTTGGAGTAAATGGGTCTTTTGGATCAAATATCAATTCATAAATACAGCTATTCCTCTGGTTGTCATATTAAGGCACATTTTGTTCAGCATTTTGATGTTCCAAACTCGTCACATAAAGTATTTCATTGTAGCCATTTCATTGTCTAATGTCTCGGCGATTACATTTGCCCATTTTAAAGGCAGACTGGATGAATTATACCCAAGCGATATCTTTTAAATCTACAGTTCATTGTCCATGTAAAATGGAATCCTCCGGTATCCGGTTAATTTTAGGAATATACAGTATCAAAATAGTATTGTATAGGTCTAGATGGGTGATATGTCTGCACAGATGAATGCTGTGTTTTTGTTTGTTTGTTCGAATTGATGGCTTTAGTTCTAGTTATTATAATATTACTTTATCTTTATTTGCCCTGTCACCCTTTCGCTAATTCACCACCCTTGGTTCAAAGTCGGTTGTTTTACGAATGAATTCATTATAACAATGATGTCGACCAAATCCGACATTCAGTTCCAATTCAAAATCAGTTGATTATAAATATAATATTTAGTTTAAGTTTGTTTCATTTAAAAGTTTATTAGGCGAGCTGAGTTGTTATAAAGAGTTCTGGTAGATATGCCTTTATTGGATTACGGTGAATGCGCGAGGCTCAATCTGATTTAAACACAGATCCTATTTCGTTTCGTTTTTATAGTTCAAAACTTCGTTTTACTTGTCTTTAGTGTAGGCCATCGAAAGTATAAAAAAACGAAACGAAATATAGATCTGTATTTTAATCAGATTGCGCGAGGCTATAAAAACTTATTATTTACAGTAGCCCAAAATGGAAATATCTTGGACTGTGATTTTTGTCAAGTGGTGCCTATAATGAATAGCCTATTCTAAGTTTTACTGGGGGGTTGGATGGCTGAATGGTTAGCACGTGCACGCTACCTATATCATAAAGTCTGTCATTGAGTGAACTGGCGTGGTTTCGATTCCCCCGGTTGTACGTGACAAGGAGTAGGGTCGCCTGTCCAACCTCGTGGGTTTTCTCCGGGCCCTCCGGTTTCCTCCCACTGCTAAATAAAATTAAATCATATGATAATCCCGAAATTACCTAGTTTGTGTCGAGTGGACGTTAAACCCCACCTCTCTCTCTCTCTCTCTCTCTCTCAATTTTACTACATTTCTTTGAGACTAGAATCTCGTCCATGTCACCCATGACACACTTGAGAAAAGCAGGTAAATAATTTGTAGGCTACATTTTATTCCAATGCTATTCTCACAATTCTGGTCAAATTCCCATTCACAATTGTGTTTTTCAGAAGTAGCAATGTATTATTGACATCGCTCAAACCTGCTTAGTAATGACAAAGTGCTCCAAACATGATCTATATGGCAACACTCGTGCATGGACAAACACCGTATGCAATTTAGCAATACAATAAAGTCACAATGACTTAAGATTTCTGTTTCGTAATCATAAATTAAGGAGGAGTGACCTCCCTTTCCAGGCTATCGGGAATGTCCAGTCGCTAAATGGCCCAAATTGAATGCGAGTGGTGTGTTATTAAGTCACGGATGTTTCCATTGCAAAAATATTCCAAGATACACGTTCAAAATATTAGGCTACTATATAGATAAACGCCTGCTGTTTTAAATTTAGAGGCCTTACTGTTCTTCCTCTAAATTGTGAAAACAGGAGGTGTTTATCTCTTTAAAACAATACAATGAAATTGTGCATTATTGAATCTTATTGTGTTATATTATATGAAAATATTAATAAATGGACCTAGAGTGGTTATGATTATTAATATATATGAAAATATCTTGTTAATTGTTGTCCTATTAATAAAATGACATTATGTCCTTTAGAATTGTTTTGTATGTTTTCTGTGCCATGTTTTCAATAATAATATTATGATCCTTCTGTCGTAGAAGATCATCCTGATAGTCCAGCAGCCAAAGAGCTTCAAAATTGCAATTCTTTCTCGAACAACACCAGGATGCTCGTCTTCATTTTTCCCGGTTCGTTCAGAAAAGTAGGACGCTAAACCCCATTTCATGCTGGTGTGTAAATTTGCAAGATTAAGACATTGTCATCTTTTCCCGGGGGGTTGGATGGCTGAATGGTAAGCGTGCGCGCGCTGTATCATAGGGTCTGTCATTGAGTCGACTGGCGTGGTTTCGAATCCCCGGTTGTACGTGACGAGGAGTAGGGTCGCCTGTCCAACCTCGTGGGTTTTCTCCGGGTCCTCCGGTTTCCTCCCACTGCTAAAGACCCCTATGCGCAAGCGAATTATTGAAATAAAATTAAACCATAGGTTAGTCCCGAAATGACCTAGTTTGTGTAGAGTGGACGTTAAACCCCATTTCTCTCTCTCTCTCTCTCTCTCTCTCTCTCTTTCTCTCTCTCTCTCTCTCGCTCTCCCTGTAGAGTGTTTATCACAACTTTTGACGACAATAACCTCACACACAGAATGTTAAAGAGTGTAAACAGTAATTTTAAATCGATTACAAGTCATTAAGTACTTTGTAGATCTACAAAATCAAATTAATCTCTCTCTCTCTCTCTCATCTTTTCCCCTTATCATTATTAGTTCAACTTGCTAATGGTAGTTGTTTTTCATAAAATAACAACACCGATATCCCCGAATTGACATTTTTTTAGTATATACGGCAGACCTCGGTATCTTTATTGCAGTTCGTGGTCCTTTCTGCTCGACAGGTATATATATATGCACGTATCAAATGTGCTTGTCCGGACAGTCCCCTGCTCGCGCAGAGCATTTTTCCCTCCCAAGTCCGGCGAACAAACGTACTAAGCATTGCCACCGTTTTGGCCTCACGCCACATACCATACTTAGGCTGTCTGTCTACACTTGCCCCGCTTGAGAACAGACACTAAGCTAGTTGACCGACATTTTAAACCAAAACACTAAGTATACTTCGAGAATTTTGTGGAGTATTTATTCTGCTTCCATTTAATAAAATTGAAAAAAGTTTATTTAGTCTTTCTATGTATGACTTGCGCATTACAAAACGGTATACTAATGTTTGGATATGGCGGCCATTTAGATCAGGGAGCTATTCTCGAAGAATAGAGAGATCTCTTCTGCACACACCACTCTAATCTTCTAAATGTATGCTTCTAAATGAAGGGGTGGATGGCCGAATAGTTAGCACGTGCGCTCTGTATCATAAGGCCTGTCATTGAGTCAGTTGGCGTGGTTTGGATTCCCCGGTTGTACGTGACAAGGAATAGGATCGCTTGTCACACCTCGTGGGTTTTCTCCGGGTCCTCCGGTTTCCTCCCACTGCTAAAGACCCCTACGCGCGAATAAACCGTGTGTTGGTCTCGAAATGACCTAGTTTGTGTCGAGTGGACGTTAAATCCCATTTCTCTTTTTTCTCTCGCATCTAAATGAATTGAAATCTTTTATCGAACAATCCCTCCCGATCTCACAACAAACTTGACGCGGTCTCTATCTTGGACTCTCCCCACTCAAGTTCCGGAACACGCCCCTGACTAGGGATTATAATTTATATAAAAACAAAATGTAAGCCCATTTATCATGACGTCATTTCAAAAGATTAAGCCTTCTGTGACGTCATTTCATCCACAGGGGATTTCATCTATCGTATTTACGGGATCTGTCTCGTTAATTTTGTAGCTAATTTGTGGTAGAATTACACAACACAGAAATAACTGATTTAACATTATTGTATGGTTATGGTAAAGATACGTGATTTGTATTTTTTGAAAAATATCACATTTCTTGCGACTTAATCTATGCTTATATGTACCCAGACAGATTATTTAACATTTAATTTAAAAAATAAAGAACTGTCGACAGTTTAACCTCAGAACAAAATTAGTGACAGTTAACAAAATGATATCTGCCAAATCTGTTTCAGCTCCTGTGCCACCATAAATTTATCCATCTTTAAGAATTGAATTGAAATGAAATGGGCTTTAACGTCCTATTGTTCTACCCAGGCTGGGCTAATAAAGACGGGAATACTCCATACGGTGTGATATGAGGGCAATTTTGCCCGGACAACGGTGCCACGGCCTACTACACTTAATGAATTCCAATTGCCAAGGGCTCTTTTATGTACACGCAAATGTCTACACGGGACATCGGTTTTCAGCCCCATCCGAATGACTATACATTGTCCCTTGCCAGACCCTATGACCTGCATCACTAAAACGGGGGGAACCAGATGAACTTTCTCAGCCAACACCTTGACCTCCAAGTTAGCGAGCCAGGGTCTTCCCCACTGAGTCACCGCGTGTCCCCCCGTCTTTAAGAAAGACGATTGGTTATGTTATTCTACAGTTAGCGGTACACTGTATATAACTGATAATGGTACTATAGCACCCTGACCTGACTTCCGCCTAATTTAAAAACTAATAATACGAATAACAGATCATAACAGCAAAAAATAGATTCACCCCATACATACAACCCAGAATAATTCATCAATTAACTTATAAATAATAGACAACTACTGTTCTGCGGGTTTCTAGGTTTTATAAATATTTTATAAGCTTCCTGGTTTTCAATCCATGCCATTGGCTCTCTGAGTAATTGGCTATTTATTTTTATACATCAGATAGTCTGTAACAGACGGTACTTTCAGTCGACTGCATTTAAAACAAAGGTTATTTATCTACTAGTAGTAGATGAATACAAGATTACTGACACAATTTTATTTCTCCTCGCCTTTCGTTTAACAGTTAAAACAACGTGTCCCGAAAGGGGGGTGGAGAGGGTGGGGTGCTGGAGGGGAGGTCGGGGAAGGTGGAAGGTGGGTGGTGGACGGGAGGGCGGGGGGGGGGGGCTCCCAATGAACCGATTCGGGTGGGAAATAAACCTGTACGCCGATTGGAACAAATACAAAATGGACGTTGTAAGACCTTTGTTTTTAAGTACTGTCCTTTTCCATTCGGGCTAATGAAGACGGACATATGCCATGTGGTGTGCTATGAGGGAAATTTTGCCTGGACAGTGGAAACCCAACTATCAAGGATTATTTTACGTGCACGCCAACGTGTGCACGTAACCTTGGTTTTTCGTCCAATCTGATCCAAACGCCTATTGACGCTATTCCTTGCCAGACCAGTGTTCACCTGGTTGAGGCTTGCGCTTCAAGTTGAAAAGTTAAAAGTTAAAAAAAGTAAGACAAATCCGAAAGCGACAAAACAACTTTATGCCTCCGTTTGGCTCTTCAGTCAATCCCCAGCAAGGAAAAGCTTAATTGATGGAGTTTGTTCATGTAAGTTCTTAAGTCGGCTACCAGCGGCCATATATAAATGTATCTATTGCAGAAGAATGGAGTTAAATGCTATCATATACCAGGAGTCGGGGGGGTATACATCAGCAGGACTGGTTGAGGTAATGAAACCAGTCAGTGTAGTAGAGAACACCTTTATTACATAACATCTGGGGCGGTATTTATAAAAATTCTAAGAGTTGGAACCAACTCTTAACTGTCAAAAATTACTCCTAACTTTGTAGATTTTCCTAAGACCTATTTATAAAACATTTTACTTTAAGAATTACTCCTAACTATGACACATATTTAGGAGTCCTCCTGTAGCACTCCTAACTTGTTAAAAGTACTCTTATCTTGGTTAACATGGCCGTCCGTGTACGCCGCCTATAAGAGTTTAAAACAAGAAGAGATTTCTTAGTGGAGTACAACAATGACGAGTTGATAAGGAGATATCGAATGGACATGGGTGGGATTCTTTTTGTGACAGATTTAGTTCGGCATCTACTTACGAGTCCTACTAAACGAAATTTCTCAATCGACGCTGAGATGAAGATCGCCATTACGCTTCGTTTCCTAGCTACTGGTAAAATGCAACTGAACTGTGTAGTGATGACGATTTCGGCGTCAGTCAACCTACAGTGAGTAGAGTGATTGCATGACATCAACACTGAGCTATAAATAACTTCAGGGAATCCCCGGATTTCCCATGGTTACATCGCTAAGAGTTTGGTTAGGACCCAAGTCTTACATTTAGTTAAAAGTAACTCTAAGGCCCTTTATAAATATTTCTAAAGAGTAACTTTTAACTAAATGTTGTTTTAGGAAGTCTTAGAATAAAAGTTATGAAAACTCTAAGAATTTTTATAAATACGGCCCCAGATGTACAAGTCATGTACTCAAGGATAAGTTACCAGAAATCATTTTTCTGGGCATGCGCGTACATGTTATGCAACTGAACCAATCAAGGCTTAACAATTATCTCGTCAACACAATACTTCGGTCATTCTGAGACTACCATACGTTATTTATTTTGCTGTGATGACGCGTGGAAACCTAAGGAAAAGTATTTTGTCCGACGAGTGGCGTTTCCGTCCTTTACATCCTTCCAATGTGTACATGAGTAGAACTCGGGGTTTTCGTCCCATCCGAACGACTACATATATATGAAAGATGATGTTCCTGGTAATACAACAGACTGACTTCCGTCTACTATTTCCGACATTTTGATTCTAACTAACATGTTTCTATGGTCACGTATGCAAACCTAGGACAGAGATTTTCCGGGACAGTGACGTTTCCGCCTTTTATGTTCAGCCCAATTTGTACATTCACACCACCGGGGGAGTTGGGTGGTCTAGCGGTTCAACGCGTGAGCGTGAAACTATAAGGTCTGCTATTGAGTGGAGTAGTTTTCATTCCCCACTTGTACGTGGCAAGGAGTATAGGGTCGCCTGCCTATCCTCGTGGGTTTTCTCCGGGTCCTCCGGTTTGCCCCCCCTGCTAAAGACCCCTACGCGCAAGTAAATTATTGAAATAAAATTTAGTCCCGAAATATGTCAAGTAGACGTTAAACACCATCTCTCTC